GTAAGCCCATATTTCGTATTTCAGCTTATTTAATTTTATATTTATTTAATTTTATATTTATTTTATTTTATATTTATTTTATTTTATATTTATTTTATTTTATATTTATTTTATTTTATATTTATTATGTTTTATTTTACCCCGCAGTTTCCATGGCACCTTCCATGCCCTCCCCCCCCCCTCCCTTTGCTACCGGGGCCAAGATTGCTGCTAATGGACGAAGAGGGGGGGCGGCATAATTTCGATATATTTGGAGAATAGAGAGTGAGAGGAAACCATCAATACCAAAATCGTTGCGATCACTGAAGGTATTCTGTAAAAAATACCGTAAGCTCTCTAAAAATCAGTGCTAAAAAATAGTTTAACAGATTTATACTCGAGATAACTAAAACATTTGTATATATATGCTTTACATTCATTGTATCATTCTGTAGAGATGTAGCTACATTAATTCCAATGCATTGCAAGAAATGTTCTTAATAAATAAACAAAAATTCACATGCAAATAAGATTCAATTATATTTTTTTGTTATCATTTTTATCATTATCATCATTATTATATATATTATATCATATATTGCACACACACACATTCACACACACACACACATATATCAAATAAACAATAATTTACATAGAACACAACAAAAATGGTATAACAAATAAACCGTGGTTCACAAACATTGTAACGCAAACAAAATACCCGCGGCCACTAATTGCCAAACCAGCGACACCAAAATAAACCACAACTTTAAATCCCCTGCCTTTACACCCCCACCCCCCTTTCCCCCACTTCCCCACACACTATCACATACTAAGATGATATAACAGGAGAGGGGAGAGGGGGGGAAATAGCCAAATCCATTAGGTCATCTCCCAGGGACGAGTTTTTCGTAAATACTTTTCACTCCTGACCTAACCGGGAAATTTGAGATGCAGTCAGAGCTGAAATTCACTTTCACGTCACGTACGAGTTATGTCATGTCACCCCCTCTAATGCAGGGTCTACCTCCCAGGCAGGAAGTGAGAGATAGATTTTGGGTGTTAAAGGGTGTCTCAGCGTCTTAAGGAGGGGGGGTTGTAATAGCAGTGTAAATGTGCGAGAAGGAGAGAAGGGAGGGAGAGGGTAATTGGGTAAGACAGAGACAGAGAGTACCAGAGAGAGTGACAGTACAAGAGAGAGGGAGAGGAAGAGAGAGAGAGAGAGAAATGATACAAGAGAGAGGGAGAGGAAGAGAAAGAGAGAGAGAAATGATACAAGAGAGAGGGAGAGGAAGAGAGAGAGAGAGAGACAGAGTAAGAGAGAGAAAGAGAGGGAGAGAGGGGAATGTAGAGAGAGAGAAAAAAAGAGAAAGGGGGTAATGAAGCAGGTAGTGACGAGGAGAGTAGATAGCTAGGAAATAAATTCATATTCATTACAATATATCGTTAAAAGCACTATCAATACTTTATATTCGTTAGAAAAATAAATACTCAAATAAAAGAAACAGAAGGACAGACAGGCAGATAGATAGATATAGATAGATAGATAAAAGAGAGAGAGGAAAATTAGACAGCCAGGTAGAGACAGAGAGACAGACCGATAAAGAAAAAGACAGACGGAGACAAAGAGAGGGAGAGGCCAATAAAGAGAAAGACAGACCGAGATACAGAGAAACAGAATAAAATGAAAAATAATAAATAAAGGAAAATAAAAGAAGAAAAAGAAAAACAGAAAATGAAACAGATCACCACCCAATGTAATGACTGTAGACTGTCACTAATTATAACAGGCGCCAGTTCACGTGTGGCCAAGTGGGCACCGAGTCACAGATGGGCTGTGTGTGTATGTGTACCTTTATATGCGTACATGGGTTTTTTCCTCGAGTCCGTGGGGGCGGTGAAGAAAGGACGAAAAATATGAAGTGTGTGTTGATGACTGAATTGTAGTTATCTTTTCTTGCTGTTATTGTTATTATCATTATTTCATTATCATTATTACCATCATCATCATCATTACTATCGCCATTACTACCATTATCATTATTATTATTAGCGTCGTTATTATCATCATGATTAACAATGATTAAAATCATTATCATCAACATTGATTATCATTATTGTCATAGTTATCATTAACATTATTATTATTATTATTATCGTTATTATAATTATTATCATCATTATTATTATTATTATCATTGTTATTATTGCTATTATTATTATTATTATTACTATTATTATTATTATTATTATTATTGCTATTATTATTATCATCATCATCATCATCATTACTATGCAACTGCACTGTCAGAATGTGCAGATACTTACGCAAGGGACTAAAAATAAATCACCCTAACAATGCCAAAGGATGAAACCATGGCAACAAGAATGGCATAGTCATGGCAACACGAGAGACATGACTATGGCAACAAGAAGGGACATTTTAGAAAACCAAAAATCACACAGGCGCATACAAACACACACACACAAACAAACAACACGTACGCACACACACAAACAAACAACATGCATACGTACGCACACAAACAAACAGCACACACACGTACGCACACAATCACACTCACGTACACATAAACACAACTTTTGTTGTTGTTTTTTCAAGCACTTTGTAATAAAACTCACATTTTCATGAGCACACACACACAAACACCCCTTTAGACACACACCTTGACCAATACTCACCATTTTCACACACACACACACACACACACACACACACACACACACACACACACACACACACACACACACACACACACACACACACACACACACACCATTAACCATAAACACGCATTTCTTCTCCTTAATAAAGCGACACACTCATGTACGCGTTAATGAGGAATGTTTGTGTGTGTGTAGTACGGAAGGTGCACACAGAGGGCGGGGTATGTCATCACCACTGATACTTTGAGTTCTAAAGCTCCTCCTATTTCTCTCTCTCTCTCTCTCTCTCTCTCTCTCTCTCTCTTTCTTCTCAATCTCTCTCTCTCTCTCTCTCTCTCTCTCTCTCTCTCTCTTCTTCTCATCTCTCTCTCTCTCTCTCTCTCTCTCTCTCTCTCTCTCTCTCTCTTCTCTCTCTCTTTCTTTCTCAATCTCTCAATCTCTCTAGCTCTCTTTCTCTCTCTCTCTCTCTCTCTCTCTCTCTCTCTCTCTCTCTTCTTCTTCTTCTTCTTCTTCTTCTTCTTCTTCTTCTTCTTTTTCCTCTTCCTTCTCCTGTTTATTCCTCTATCTTCGTTTTTCCTTTCGGTTGTCCTCGTCTTCCTTTCTCTTTCCCTTCTTCTCCTCCTCTGTCCTCATTCTCGTTTTTATCCCATCCTCTTCCTCTTCTCATACCTTTTGTTAATCGTTACTGATAGTGATATAATCATCATTATTGCCATCATAACCACCATCATTATTATTACTGTTCTTTCATTATCACTGTTGTCATTACCTTCATTGCTGCCATCACTGTTATCAATATTCTAATCATTATTATCATTATTTTTGCTGATATTATTGTTATTATATCATTATGGTCATAACAATGCCCATTACTCTCCTTGTCAAGTCATCGTTATCAATAAAATGTCATATGACTACGAACCCTATGTTCTTGTTACTTTTTCTTCATCTTTTTCTCTCTTCCCCTGGGTCGTTTATCTTGTTATCTCTGCTTCCCCTCTCTCATTCTCCTTTTTTTCACCTTTTCGGTCCTTCTCCTCACTCCTTTCCTCTCTCTTAGTCACTCTTCACTTTCCCCTCACCTTCAGCTTCGTGTCATTTTCCTCTCGTCTCACTTTCTCCTCATTCTTTCCACTGCTTTATTTTCCCCTCATTCTCGGTTCTTCCTCACTTCCCCCTCTTCCTCAATTTCTCCTCAATTTCCTCTCGCTCCTCGGTTCTTCCTCACTTGCCCCTCACTTCTCTCGCCTCCTCATTTTCCCCTCACACCCATCCCTCTCTTTCCTTCTCTCTCTCTCTCTATCTATCTATCTCTATCTCTCTCTGCCCTTCCTCACTTTCTCCTCACTCTCTCATCCTCTTCTCATTTCCCCCTCATCCTCCGCTCCATCTCACACTTCTCGCTTCATTTTCCCCTCACACACGTCCCTCTCCCTCAGTCTCTCCTCACTCGTCCTCTCACCTTTCTCCCCTCCCTCCCTCCCTCCCTCTCCTCCCTCTCCTCCCTCTCAACCCCTCGCCACCTTCACCTCCCTCTCACCACCACCCCACGCCCCCTCTAACCCCCTCCCTCCCTCCTCCCTCCTCCCTCCCCTTCCCCTCAGTCTGGACCTTGGCCAGCTATCTTAGGGGATTCCCCGAGACTCGCGCACTGTGGGTAAAAGAAGAGGAGGGGGAGAGGGAGGGGTAGAGGAGGAAGGGGAGAGGGTGGGCAGAGGGTGGGGTAGAAGAGGGAGAGGTAGAGGAGGAAGGGGAGAGGGTAGGATGGGGAGGGTGGGGAGAGGGAGGAAGAGGAGAGGGAGGAGGATGGGGAGAAGGTGGGGAGAGGGAGGAAGAGGAGACGGTAGGGTGGGGAGAGAGAGAGAGAGAGAGAGAGAGAAAAAAAGAGAGAGAGAGAGAGAGAGAGAGAGAGAGAGAGAGAGAGAGACGGGCGGAGCAAGAGAGAAGAGGAAAGGGAGGAGAGAGAGCAAAGGGGGGGGGGGAGGGGGGGGGAGACGAAGAAGGGGAGGAAGAGGAGAAGGAAAAAGGGGGCTCGGCGATATAATGAGAGAGGGAGACCACGAGGGCAGAGGAAGGGGAGGGAGAAGAGGAGGTTAAGAGGAGATACGTATAAAAAAGACAGGGAGAGGAGGAGGAATGGGGAAGAAAAGGGAGATAGAGGAGGAGGAATATAAAGAGGGAAGTGAGCGGGAGAGGAGAGAGTGCGAAGGGAGGTGGAGTATGAAAAAGAAGGGAAGAGAGGGAGGGAAGGAGGAAGAGAAGTTAGAGAAGAAGAAAGGAGAGAGTGAATATAAGGAAAAGAGAAGTAGAGAGAGAAGGAGGAAGAAGAA